TAACATATTCTATGACTTTCGTTTAGATCGCTAAGGCTAAATCTCGCTCTATCGTAAATTCACTATTTACGCTTCCCGGTATCGTGTCGGTTCCGTTGCGAAACTTCAACGGGTCATAACTTCTTCGTTATAAATCAGATTTCGGTGTTCTTTATATATACAGAAACCTTGAGACATATTCTAAAACTTGGTTAAGATTATTTATTCTAAATAATCTTTTGTCAAAAATTCGTTTTCGACACTTATTATCTCTCAATTGACTATCTCGGATCTACGGGCGTTACAAGTTGGTTATGGAACGTTGCCTTGGGGAGGCCAGTAAACACACAAGGAAAAAGGGGGTGAACCCCTAGGATGTCTAGCAGAAGTACTCGAGGAGTGCTAGAGGCTTTGTCAGTTGAGTAAGTTGTGTTCCCAGGATGGTCACGGTTAGGGTTGACCCGAGAATATTATCCGCAAGTATTAATGTTAGTCAGAATGATCAGGCAGAAGGCCAGCGAAGGTAGTCAACGGATGTTAGGTCAACTAAGCAGATTGTTCAAATCAGATTGCATGGCAATTGGCCGTAAACAAACCTCGAGGATGATGTTTAGATTAAGTGGGGGAGAGTTGTACCACCCATAATCAGGAAGACCAAGAAAGGAAAGGAAAACCCTAAGTCAAAGGGGTCAACTCGTCGAGTCCAGGGTGGAACTTGACGAGTCCGAGCGGGATCCTACTCGAAGAGTTAGTGACCAACTCGACGAGGCGGAGAGTGGACTCGGCGAGTCCGGTCTGGATTGGGAGACCCTAAGTTCGGGAGTTAATTCCCTATTTAAAGGACCTTAAGTTCTCTCCTTAGTCCTCCTTTTCGGCCAGAAGCTGCTATACACGATTCGAAACCCTAGATGAGTTAGAGAAGGAAGGAAGTGGGTTTGGGCTTTTGCAAGAGGAAGGTTTGGAGGATTTGACCACTAAGGAGCTGGAGGATCCAACCCTTTTGTTGTGAGCATCATTTTGAAGGTAACAATATGTTACTTTGCCTTTGTTGCTTCTAGATATTCTCATGGATGATGTTTTGGGTACATTTTGGTATGATAAGGAGCCTTTTTGAGTTAGAAGTCCAGATCCGAGGTTGCTACTTCAGATCTAGGTGTGTCTTGGCCCAGAGACCCATAAAGTATCGGTTTTTGGTGTGTAAGTTAAGCATGTTTGCCATAAACCCTAGCCCTAGAGTTTTTTAAGCCCATATATATTTGGTTTCACGTAAAGTTTGCAACTTTATGTGAGGAATAGACTTGGGAAGAGTGGATCTATGAGTTGAAGCCCCTGCATGGCTCGAAAAGCCACTGTATGGATTAAGAACTGAAGCGACTCGACGAGTCACATGGGTGGACTCAGCGAGTTGGATGAAGGTGGGCATCGACTCGACGAGTTGGAAGAACAACTTGGCACGTTTGTTAAAGATTTTTAGGGACTCAGCGAGTCTGTCCATGGACTCAACGAGTCAGGTCGCGAAACACTAACCCCTTCTGGTTAAGGTTCAGATCAGTGAGTTGAATGGTGACCCAGTGAGTTGGACAGGATGGGATTCAGGGATCGTTGAACTCGACGAGTCTTGGGGTGACTCGGCGAGTTGGGTCGCATTATGAGGGTTCTGAGTACATGTACTCGATGAGTCAAAGGACTGACTCGGTGAGTAGAGTCAGCCAGAAAGATTGACTTTGACCAGAGTTGACTTTGTTTGGCTTCTAGAGTTCAATTGGAACTAAGTGATATATGTATTGATATTGGTAGCTCAGGGAGCTAGTGGAGCAGTGGTTTAGAGAACTGTCGGCCAGCAGCAAGAGGGTTATCAGCAAGTTCAGCAGTGCAGGTGAGTTTCCCTTTGTGTGAATGGGTCTACGACCACAATGCCGACCCATGTAGTTATGAGTAGGAAGACCCGGTGGGTTAGCCCTAGGCACTGTTTGCTAGTATGATATTCCAGAACAAGGTCCGATGTCGAGCGGGTGCCCAAGGAATGGTTCACATGATAGAGTATACTTGTTGTCTGTGTGATGCATGTATGTGCCTGGTAGGAAGGTGAGTGTGGGCGAGATCCCGTATCTCACCAATAGCAGAGTATAGACGGTGTTCCATATCTCATTATTAGTAGAGCATGGGCGAGGCCAAAGATAGGAATGGAGTGAGTATGAGCGTGGGCCCGTATCTCACTTACCGTAGGAGCATGGACGGGGTTCCATGACTCACTAGTGATAGGACATGGGCGAGGAGCATGGACGGGGTTCCATGACTCACTAGTGACAGGACATGGGCGAGGCCTAAGGATAAGAATGCAGTAGGGTATGTTCAGTTATGTGTTATATGTTATTTTCTACTATATGTGGTTAGCGGGCGGGTCCCAAAGACAGGAAGTGCCTAAAAGAAACAAATTTGTATCCGAGCGGGGCTCGAAGCCAGGCGGGGCCTGGAGCGGCGGGGCCGTTGTAGCAGGTGGGGCCCGAGGTAGGGGCGAGGCCCGAAATAACAGGCGTGGCCCAGTATATGCTGTATGTGTTTGTGCAGGATATGTGATAGGTTGGGGAACTCACTAAGCTTTGTGCTTACGGTTTTCAGTTTTGGTTTCAGGTACTTCCAGTAGCGGAGGGAAGAGCTCGGGGTGATCGCATGGCACGCACCATTGATTAGTCAGCTTGGGATGTTTTACTGTAATAATGAATTATGTTTTGGAATTAATACTCTGAATTTATGTTATGACTTATGATATGTTTTTATAAATATGGCTTTGATAATGATTTAAAGAAAAGTTTTATGTGCGGATTTTTGGGATGTTACAATCTTTCAATCTTATTTAGTGTTCTCACAAATAGCCCAAGTTCTTCATGTTTGACTTAAAGTCAAAGTTATCAAAAATCTCAACCATCAACGATCAACAAAAGTCAATAATCAGTAGGTCAACTGCCCCTCACGACGTGACAATCTATTGGTAATGTCTTGAGCCACTAAAAGACAAATTATTCATGGTCTTTTGATCCCTACTACGTGATATGCATAGTCTCACATCGTCAGAACTGTCTGAATGACATCTTGATGAATTAAACCCTTTTATTCATTAATCCACTAATTTACCTACTCCAGAAGACTACCCTACACCCCAAAAGCCACTAATTTAAAGGATCCAGTTAGGTTATTTTATGAAGGAAAGGAGGTCAAAACCTTAACACGAGCTTAAACATCAACCAAACTTCATATCTACTACATATAATCACCAAGGGACACTAAGGACACATAAAGCTGCCAACTTTATGGAGTCCCAACATTGTAACATATCTAATCATGAACCATAATGTATAAAACTCTAGATCTAGCAACAAGGAACCATAAAGCATGAAGCTTGAATACTCACAAGGGTCCACAATGGTTGCTAGAAGATGTCAATGAAGCTTGTACGTTGGATTATTCACCAAGGGTATTGATCTATACACAACAATTTTTGGCCGTACACAACAATTTGTGCTCTATGGAGTTGTACAATACAAACATATAAAACACAAATTGTTGTGTATGGTTAAAAACTGTTGTATACGGATCAACATCCGTTCCCCCAAAGATGATCCCTTCTTCTTCAAGTCACCAAAACACCACCAAATGTTCATGAACCTAATGATGGGGCTAGGGTTTTGTTTGAAACCATGGGAGGCTGAAGACGATAACTTTATGAGATAAGTTCGTTAAATGTGGAGAAAACACTAAAATTTGTGGGCTTCAGGTGCAACCAACCTTACAACGTGAACATCATAATGTCACGTCGTGACTCTCATTTCCATGTGTCACGTCATGACACCCGTTTTTCCCAAAAGTCATGCCCTTGACTCCTTGATGTCCTAACCGATCTATTCTTCTGGGTGTTACATTTGAAATATGTGAGTTTTTTTTTTTTTTTTTTTTTTTTTTTTTTTTTTTTTTTTTTTTTTGTGTGTGTGTTTATTTAATTATGAAATTATGCTATATATCGTTTTGGGTTGTTTTAAAAAAACAGGTTTGATAATTACAGAATCTATAAAAAATATTAAAAATAAAAAAGTTGTTATACAAAAAACATGTCGTCGTTATAAGTTTTAACTGTAAAAACGGTTTTCACTTATATCGACGACATTCTGTCGCTATAGCTCAAACTGTAAAAACGGTTACAAACTTGTGTCAACGACTTGTCGTCGCTGTACGTCAATATGTCCTAATGACACATCTTCGGTATAGAGTGGATCTACGGTGGCACCTTGTCATCGTTACAAATATATAATATATTTTTTTTAAATCAATCCCAATGGATCAAACGATATTTCATCGGTATAGAGGTACCTATCGAGATGACTTTTTCAATTCCAACGACGAGCCTATACCAACAATTTGTCGTCGGTATAGGTTATTCCAAAGTGTGGTGGACATAGGATTAAAAAAGTCGTTGCATAGGGATTGATTGTTGTGGCGTTGTGATCTTTCTAGTAGTGTATAATGAAAGGCATACAAAGTTGTTGCATTCTCTTTTGATTATACGTACGGATACAACGCATACAAATTATGCAGACATAGCGACAGAGATGTTAACAAAACTGTTGAATTGTCTTTTTTATTAATATTTAAACGCGTGAATTACATATGAACAAGACAAAATGATGCACTTAGAAAATGATGAATTAATATCTTTATGGTAAAATATCTTCTAATAAGATAAATAATAAATGTAAACATAAATATTGTTTACCAAAATAACTAGTTTTCTAATTAGTACAAAATCAGAAATCTTTCAAAAAAGTTCACTCTCTTTTAGGTTTACTTAACATTACGGGTCAATAACGTGGACCATTATGTGGCTGTAGCATAAAGCATTAAACTTTACTATCGTATTATCCTTAAAAAAATATTTTTTCCACACATCACCCCACCGGCCCACCCTACCCCCTCTGAACTCAAAAATAGTATAAAATATGCCGATCGCCCCTCTTTTATTCATTGTACCATTCTCATTCTCTGAACTTCTTTCCTTTAATAAACGAACAAACTCTCTCACACAAACGCATACCAGTTACAAGGTTCATGGTGATGTTTCAAGAAATGTCACCGAGGGATGACAAAAGTGAGAGCATAAAGGGACAAGAACACAACAAAGGAGTGAAGCACTTGTGTGAAATGGGAATCACAAAAGTTCCCAAAAAGTATATCCTCCCTACTCTTGAACGTCCCGACAACTCTATAACTACTGAACTCCATGACGTCACAAATCTGCAGCTACCCGTCATTGATTTCGCGGAGTTGCATGGCGCAAACCATGAGCAAGTCATTACATCATTGGCTCATGCTTGCCAGAATTACGGGTTCTTCCAGGTTAGTCTATTTATCCATGAACATGACTCTATTTTACTCAACCAACAACTAATTAAGACCACGATGTGGTGTATATAGTGCACCCTATAACATATGTTCTAAGGCCCTAAGTTGTGTTTTTGTTTTAGTGTGTCTTAGTTATTGAATGTTAATATTATGTATACATATTGTAGGTTATAAACCATGGGATTTCAAGTAATGTTATAGATGAGATGATAGATGTGGGTAGAAGATTCTTTGAGCTCCCATTGAAGGAGAGAGAGAAGTATATGTCTACAGACGTTCATTCTCTTGTTCGATATGGAACCAGTTTCAACCAGATGAAAGATGGCGTTTTATGTTGGAGAGACTTTTTGAAATTGGTTTGCACTACTGAGGCTCATTCTCAGTGGCCTTCTTCTCCTTTGGATTTTAGGTAAATTCATAACTACCTATCTTAGCTTTCGTTCTTGTGAGGACACTTTATAAACAGTTCTTGAGTGTATGTGCATCCACCCACAACGCATAGACTCACAAAAACCCTAATAATGGCTTGTTGTTTTAGTTTGAATGTTTTTTAAATTGTTTTTTTTATTGAGTTTTAAACCTTGAATTTTCATAAGGGTATGTAAGTACATATATAGATAAACCTAGATTCACAAAAAAAAAACCCTAATAATGGCTTGTTCTTTTAGTTGGAATATTCTTTAAATTATTTTTGATTGCGTTTTAAACCTTGAATTTCCATAAGGGTCTGTAATTAACAATCCCCATTTAGAATATGAGTTTTTTAGTAGTTTTTTTCATGTGAAAAACATTTGAAAATTGAAATTTTTTTAAGGAGCATTTTCAAACTAATTTTTTTTTTCAACGAGTTGTTAATTAACAAGTTATTGTCATGAAAGATTTAAATGATTTTATGGTTCAAATCAATTGTAAACACACAATTTATTGTATATCCAGCAAAAGAAGCAACTAAAAAAGCTCTACGATATATAATAGAGATAAAATAAGAAAAAGATCTCTTATTATTTGTGGATTCTACTAAATAAGAAAATTGAAAACACCTTACCATTGATATTGATAAGCTAGTTTAGTTGATGTGACAAACAGTCTAACAAGACGACTAGTGAGACGCGTCAAAAACTTAGCGGCTTGACGCTTATTTTTGTCAAATTTGGCTTTAAAAAAATCAACTCCAAATATCTAAAAAGGCATTTGAAACCATAAAAAATAGTTGATTCTTGTTCTTATTAGCTGTGTTTTTGTGACATCAAATCTAATCCTTTATCCTTATTGACAAACTCAAGGCCTATACTTTTTTGTTACAAAAAGACACACATCTGTGAGCTGTATCCACAATAGCCACATCAGAATTGTGTCTTTAGTACGAGGACAATACATCATCGCTAAAAAAAATACCAAGGCTTTGACATTAAACATAATATATAAAGCAAAAACTATAATAATAAATTCTTATTACTTAGAAAACGACTGATTCCTTAATTAAAAAACATACAAAGGCTTTGACATTACACATAATATAATAATACTTTCGTTTAATTATACTTAAACACCTAATTAACTTACGTAGCAATAATAATAATAAATACTATTAATCAATATCATGTCTATCTTTTAATGATTTTAAATAATCAAATTGTTAAATTAGTTTTCATTCCGATTTAATTAAGCTATGGCTCAAGAAATGTGACACGACACGACTGTCAATCATTTTCTTCTTCATCATGATTTCTTCTCTTTTCCTCCCTCTTTCGGGAAAGACACTGATTACAAAAAATCAATACCTGAAACTTAGTATCCCAATTTATTTTCCTTCCGTTTTTTACTATATTGATGTAAACAAATCCAACTCAATTATGCATCTTGTACGTAAAACGTTGGATTTATTCTTAAAGTAAATGGTTAAGATTTTTACTTACTTGGATAGGGAAATGGGAGTAGAGTACGCAAGAGAGACAAAAATGTTGTTCCAATCGCTGATGGAAGCCATCTTAGAAAGCCTTGGATTGGAAGAAAAAAACACACACAACAAAACACCAAAAACCCATCAAGAATCCGGCAATAACAAACACAGCAGCAAAAGGGAAGAGAATTACGATAATATAATAAAAGACATTGGAGATGGAAGCCAGCTAATGGTGGTGAATTGCTATCCACCATGCCCTGAGCCTGAGCTTACGTTTGGAATGCCACCACACTCCGATTATGGATTCCTCACCCTTCTCCTCCAAGACGAGGTTGAAGGCCTTCAGATACTTCATAAAGATCATTGGGTCACCATTAAACCTCGTCCTCAATCTTTTGTTGTGAACATCGGTGATCACCTTGAGGTTTGTACTTTGTACATATTTCATTCCGATTATGTAGTTTTACCACTTCTTTAGAAAGAAGGGGTATGGACTTTTTAGATAGTCGTATTTGAAACTCATGGGTGCAAATTTTATGTTGGTTATGTAATTTGCAGATACTTAGCAATGGAAGATACAAGAGTGTGATGCATAGGGTACTAGCGAATTCCAAGAAATCAAGAATATCAGTGGCATCTTTGCATAGTTTAGCATTCACGGCAGTTATCAGACCATGGCCAATGCTAATCAATGATGAAAATCCAAAGCGATACAAGGATACTGATTTTGCAGATTTTGTTCAATACATTACGACTTGTGATTCTAAACATAAAAATTTTCTAGAGTCTAGGAAATTAACTCACATTTATACCTAATGAAAGTCTCAACAAAAATTAATTAGTGAAATATTCACTATATCGAAAACAGTTATGAAGTTATGAAGTTATTGCGTGTTTGTAAAACCTTAGGAAGCTAGATGAGAGTCTGTCAAGTTTTGTGGACTAGGTAGGGTAAAAGTTCTTAGGAACACCTGTACATTGTTAAAGAAAACTACTGAAGGTTCGTAAATGGACAGATGGAAACATTCACATATTGTGTCAAGTCATAATTTGAAGAATATGTGTTAAAAGTTGTGTTTTTTTATCCTATCTTGCTTGTAGAAAAGAAGGATCATGCATGGTTTACGTGTTAAAACTGCAGATAAATCATTTTCATGTATATATGTAACGATCCCTAGGTTTAATCTATCATGCCCAAGATAATTAAATCATGCCCCCGTAATGTTAAGATATATAAAAAATAGTTTTGAGCAACATAAATGAAATATAACAACTAAAGAACAAAAAAGCTAGCAAATAATTAGCAATTAAATATGTTATTTAGAATATGTAATATTTCGCTTTTATCTATATAGTTTTATAGGCATACCCACTTTGGTTCCAACCATTAGGAAAGGTTGATATTGATAGAGAAACAAATATAATGGGTAAACAAGTACAAATTAGTGTCCCACTTGACTTTTCCAACTTCGAACATAAATTAAAGTATTCTGTTTTACAGTAGAAGTAATATTAGTTTGTAAAAACCTTATTTTCATTTGGATGCAAATATAGTCTCGAAGTTTAAAGCTTTGTTCATGTAAATAAAAACATTGATATGATTTCTAGTAGATGATTTTAAGAAATCTTATAATTATGATCATTGGAATAGTTTTTTTATTGGAAAACAAATATATAGAAAAAAAAAGTCTGCAGCAAACTTGACAAAGATACAACGAGTTAAAGATTAAAGGGTAGCATATCAATTACTCAAAATATCAAAATATACAGAAACATTAAAGTGCCAAATAGAGAACATCAATTTGACAGTTAACAAGTGTAGCAGGTTAGGTAGTCAAATCTTCAATGGACCAAGGGCATAATGGTCAAAACTCCAAATTTACAACTTCTGCAAAGCACAAGAACTTACAGGAACCTCGTTAGAAATCTGAATTATCAAGGGGCAAAATAAGTCATCTTTTCAAGAAAATTTCCCAGCAGCATTCATATAAAATACAATATTATCAGGTGGAAAAAGGTCATTAAAAAACCTTTGTCATTCCACCAAAAAAAAAAGAAGGCAACAGCTAGCACCACCAACAAAGAAGCGAAAATAGACCACGAGTAGTGAAGGGAAAAAAGATCAAATAACCCAAACTTCAAACTTCCAAATTAGAGAGATCAATGCAACTAAGGGCAAAATTGCCCAATAAAAACCAGCAAAAGTCCTTTAAATCCATCGATGATAGCAAGTATGAGCGATAACGACAGTCTGATTGCTTACAATAGTCATGTCTCCTCGTTTCCTTAACTGGCGTGAAGCAGGTTCATCTCCTCATCTTCTGATGTTTGAAATTAGCGTTGTGTGCTACTTTTCTTAGGCTATATGGTGTGGCTGACCGCGGTTTGTGCCACCTGGATCGCGCACACTGCCCCCAGACCCCGGTCTTGCGTGGTTTTAGCCGCAGTGCAATCCTTTAGTGTCGTGTTTGGTGATTGGTTGATGGGTGTATTGACCGTTGAATGGGTTGTTGCGTAATTATTTTTTTTCTTTTTTTCTTTTTCTTTCCTAAATATATACATATTAACTTCATTTGTTTTTCAAAACTCAATCACTTCCCTCTCTCAAAAAACTTTTAAAAAAAATCACTATTCTCTCAAAAATGTCATCTTCTGAAAAATTTCAGACTATTTTTGATACCGTTATTACGTGTGTTCAAATGGCAGAAAAAACATACAACGTTGTATGTAACGTCGCAGCAGCAAGTTCTCAACGGAGAACACGAAGATATATTTGCAGAAATCGTGAAGAAGCCAACCAACGTTAGGTGCAAGACTATTTTGCAGAGAATGCCACTTATCAAGGGTATTATTTTCGTAGGCGCTTCAGAATGCTCAAAGGTTTATACAAACTTATTGTAACAACCCGAAATTTCCATATCATTTACTGTAACTCCTTTGTAGTACAATTCGCGCAACCGATCGTCGTTCCGATTTCGATTTCTAATCTTCCGTTTAATTAAGTCATTATTTAGTACAAATTTAAAATGACTTAATGGGTGTCTTAATACATTTAGAAATCATTTTAACACCTAACTCTAGTGATCGGAATATTACTAGAAATTACCGTGTCGGGTTACGGTAACTCAATCGGGTACGACCAAAAGCCTCATCTAACACCGGTATCGGTTAGAATTCCACCGTGTCCAAAACTTAAACACTATATAAACGTGTTTAAGACTTCATTTGAAGCCTTTGGCCAATTTCTCACTAAACTCTTACAACCTCTCTCCTCAAGCTAGAATTAAGGTCCAAATCACAAGTTTAAGGCTTCAAATCTTTAAGGTAACCTCCCTAACATGTTATTCAACACCTTTAGCCTTCAAATTGATGAATTAATTGAGTTTTGGGACCAAGAACTTGAGTTTACGGCCAAGGAGCAAGCTTGGGCCGTAAACTCCATTAAATGGGGTTTTAAGCCCTTAAACTCCTTCCTAAACTCAATTGGACTTTAGATATGGCTATGGGACTTCAAGATATGGACTTAGAACATTTGAAACTTTGATTTTGAGCCATTTGAAGGAGTTTACGGCCAAGGCATAAGCTTAGGCCGTAAACTCATGTAAAAGGGGTTTTCATGCCCTAAAACCCTTCCAAATCACTTCTATGGCTTAGATATGAATTATAGACCTTGGTTTAAGCATTTGGACACTTGAAACATGAATTTTGGGAGACTTATGTGAGTTTACGGCCAAGGCATGTGCTTGGGCCGTAAACTCCCCAAAATTTGACATAAATCCAATTCTAAGGTGTTAGAAAGCCATCCAACACCACCAAAAGCCTTGGAATAAATCAAGGGACCAACCAAAAATACTTTAAGGGCCTAAAACACATCATTTGTGGGATTATAAGAGTTTACGGCCAAGGCTTGTTCTTGGGCCGTAAACTCCAAGATTTTTGGTGTTAGAATGCAAACTAAACACCCCTAAAGCCTTTAGATGAATTTTAGAAGTCCTTCTATGCAAGTTTTAGACCTTGAAACACTTTGTATGACCCTATATAAGAGTTTACGGCCATGAGGAGGGTCTCATGGGCCGTAAACTCCATAACACCCCTCAAATGTCCCATAAAACTCATGTAAAGTCTTGGAATAATCCTAGTAATCACATGTGATTTGTTTTAACAACATTTAACACCATTTTCATGAAGATTAAGGAGTTTACGGCCAGGAGCCTATATTAGGCCGTAAACTCCCATAAAAATAATCATTTTGATGATTTAAATTCATTCCAAGTGTTCCAAGGCAATTTAGATAATCCATTCTAGCAACCCCTATGTCCATTTGAGCCCTTAAACCATCAAAACCACACCCACATGAGTTTACGGCCGTAAACTCATGTATGTGTGTGTTTTATGGTTGTAAACTCTTTAAAATGTTTACTCTTGGGGAGTAAACTCAAGTCCCAAGTCCCTAGTGCCATTACAAGTCCGAAGATGTCACCCGGGTCACTCCGAACGCTCGTTTTGAGGTGTTTAACCTCATTGGAGTGTAATGTCCCATATGATTAGTGAATGTATCTCTAATTGTATATATATGGACATTATATCATTTTACATAGGATCATCGCGAGTAATCAAACCCCGAACCAACGTCTAGCATTCAAAACCGACACGTTTCCGAGTCCGGTGAGTTCATACCCCTACCCTTTTTCACTGTTTTCAGGGGGGAACACAAGCAAAGTACAAGGGAATTCTTGTACTCAAAACATGTTTTCAAATGTGTGTTTCATATTCTTATGCTTTTATAACTGATATTACAACTGATAACAGATCGAACATACAGATCACGTAACATATATTTGTGAAATAAGTCTTTAAACTAGTATGTTTTACATGTATTTCACAAATGGTTTTCCACATTTTATCAGTTAAAAGCACGACATTAAAACATTTGAACATAATACCTGTACACTGTTTTGTCCTCGGTAACACTCCCCACACATATACGAGTGGAGGACTATCATATTATTACTAGTAAATTTGTTATTCCTGTATGATTGGAGACACGTCCTCGGAGAACACTCCACCCAGATTACGCGAGTGGAGGACTACACCCATAACCAGAATCTCTGGTATTTAGAGAGCGTGACTTGAGTGTATAGATCTATACGGGGCTGACTACCCCACACCTGGCTGCTAGCTACAGCCGAACCGAAATGGTTCAAGGGTGACGAAAGTCATAAGTATGTGGACGACTTATTGCCACATGTGGACTACTTATTGCCACAGGTTTCAGTCTATTGTATGGTTATGGAACTCGCAATTAGGATAACAGAGATTTACTTACAGTAATAATGGATTACTTTATACATCGTTTACATCTTTGACATCTTTTACATCTTTTACTTACTGTAACCAACATTCAGGAAGGTACGGGACTTTCCTGGGGAAAACATAGAACCTAATCACGATTACATCTTTTACATCTTTAACATCGTTTACATTAGATACATACATGCAGGAAAGCATGGGGCTTTCCTGGGTAACATTTACATAACTAGAAAGAGTAACAAACTGGATAACATTACATCTTTTACAATTTGTAACATACAATAAGGAAAGTATGGGACTTTCCTGGTAACACATGATAAGTAAACAGAACAGTTCAACCAGTCAGATAACCAACTATACATTTTCACATGAATAAACATATTTTCAGTGTACAAACTTACTATACTTTACATTTGTGAAACAATAACCAACGTTAAGAAAATACGGGATTTTCTTGGTGAACATAACATTTCAGATACAGAAAGGAAACCGATATATTTTCATAAAACAAAACCGCTTATAAACTCACCAGCTTTATGCTGATTTTCAAACCGCTTGTGTTCTCAGGTCGACGTTAGAACAGGTACCCGAAGATCCTTTTGCTCGAAGACGGAGTACATGCAGATCCATTTCATTTTGTCTATATATACTATGTATCACAACTGTACAAACTTTACTCTGTAAAACTTTTATTATGTAATGTAATAGTTGCTTTACTTTACTTACTATGTGCATTGGATTTGATACTCAACGTGGTAGTCAACCCCGGAAATGTTTTCCGCCTTCGATTTTCGGGGTGTGACAGATTGGTATCAGAGCCCTTGTTTATAGTGAATGAAGTATACCAAACCTTACATGGTATAAAACTATAAACACTAAAGGGCCTAAGTGCTCTGAATTAAAAGTATCTTCAAACTACAAGTATTTTCAAAAGTATACAA